TCATCCATAACTCAATAGCGTATGCTGTGGTGTTTACCATTTTGTTAATTGCATTAAATTAAGTAACTAAATTAAAAAATAATGATAAAGTATTGGAAGGTATTACCTTTCACAGACATCCAAAGCAAGTTTATTGCTGTTACCAGCTTGCTGTATGGCTTGCTAAATAAAATAAATAAATTAAAACAGAAAATGCATATCAATAATGAATGTATCTTTATGAAAAAGTTAATAATTAAATTGTCCTCGCCCATTTTGTTCTATGAGCTATTAGTATCAGTGTAGGATGAAGTTTGCAACAATTATTCATTCCAAGGGAACCATGCATTGTCTCAAAAATATATTTTTCCTTGTGGAATCTACTGGAGGTATTTCAACACCCATTTTTATACCAACCAATCCCCTCTCCCAGCTGCGGAACACTTCTTTGTAAATTAAAATAAGTCAAAGAGAATTCTATCATTTAATTCCCATGAGAGACCAAGAGAGAATATCTCCTTAAAGTAACATTAGAGACAGGTAATGAGAATAAAAAAAAAAGATCAAGCTCTGGAAGGGGATTATTGGTTGATCAAATACCAAATTCACTAAATCATTACAGCATATTAGAAGTGTATGGCAGATAGTGAGGAAAATTACTGATGAAATCTTGAGAGAAAAAGGTTTAGTGGTTTATCAACTGAACATAACTTGTGACTGTCTTCTCTTTGATTAATTTGTGTATTGATCTCATGATTGTGTATAGATCTCATGATTGTGTATTGACCTCATGATTGTGTGTTTAAATTCCCATTAGAGACCAAGAGAGAATATCTCCTTAAAGTAACATTAGAGACAGCTGTCTCTAATGTAGTGAGAATAAAAGAAAAAGATCAAGCTCTGGAAGGGGATTTATTGGTTGATCAAATACCAAATTCACTAAATCATTACAGCATAAGAACTGTATGGCAGATAGTGAGGAAAATTACTGATGAAATCTTGAGAGCAAAACGTTTAGCAGTTTATCAACTGAAGATAACTTGTGACTGTCTTCTCTTTGATTAATTTGTGTATTGATCTCTCAATGCTTAATATTCATTAAATGATGTATTTACCATAAATATATTTTATAAAGCACAATTAAACAGATATTGGGTTAGAAGGAGTCTTGAATTCTTTAACGTTAGGTAATTCTGTTTGTAGTACTCACAGGTTCAAATGTCATCATAGCCTGAAGATACATAATGGTGCTATAACCAAGAGCATGGTACATGCTTTCATTTATCCTAAGGTGAATCAAGAAATCTTCATTAATTTAACTGGCAGATAGTTACACTGGGTTTTACTTGTTGTGGCAAAAGAGGCTTACAAAGGGAGGGGGGAGGGTCATGGGCACCCCTGGCATCCTCCCAGCTACATCACAAATGAACAAATCATCATCAAGTCATCATCTTCAGTTATTTACAAAAACCAAACACTCCTGAAGGCATCATACTTTGTAATTAGTTTGAGTTTATTATTACCACTGACTATTGAATTTTACAGAAAATGAGGAGAATTTAAATCTCAATTTCATTCTTCCCTTTTCAATTCTAGCATCTGAAAAAAATTCTGCTTGCATGGTCCTGGTTCTGGCACTTAATTAATCAAAATTTTGTGCATCATAATTAGTTCTGAATCAAATGCAAAGCCTAATTGACAATGCAGTATCAACATTGTCTGCATAATATCTGAGCAAAGTCTTCTCACCAACCCTTCCAAGGCTTAATTGACACCAACTTTTCAACTTACTAGCCAAGTGGCTAGTGATATCTTAGATGTTATGACAATTTCAGTTTGTTTACTAGCCAAACAAGCTAAGCCCTACAAGATCCAACCACGTATTGCCGCCAACTGCTGACATGTCGAGTATTTTTTTATTATTGTTTGACCCCATTCATTGTATCATATCATACACGGCACCATCGATTTCTTAGGCCCTCTTTCTAAAAGCTGTGTTTTGTCGACAAACAGCTGAACCGTATATTGACTTAATTGACTTTTTTTTTTTTAATTAAATTAAAGAAATAAAGGCCTTTGTAGCCTGCAGTTAGCTTGTGGAAATAAAAAACCACTATCCAAAACTGAATTTCTACTAAGTCTGTAGCTAGTGGACTAGTATACTGTTAGTTTCGAGCCCTGCCTTCCCTTAATCCAGCAACAGTCACCTGATAACAAGGTTGTTTTTGTTCGCTGTTTTTTTAACAAGTTATAGGGTTACAGTTGGGTTAGGGGAAGGCTACATGCTCAGTTCCTTAAATACTGAGACATTGATCCTGCAACATCCTTGGGACAGTCTGAGGGCCTCTTCAAGAGTTCAAGATCTAAAGTTTTGTTAGATTAAGACACATTATTGATTACCATGGTTCAAGTTTTGCTTGTGCTTGAAGGAACTTGTTTGACAAACACAGGTTGACAGCAATATTTGTCATCTTAATAGCATCAGCTAACACTTTCTCGTCCACAGCACCACTGTAAACAATCGAGACTAGATTAATATTTTAAGCTTATACAATGCATCACCATTTTTTGTCTAAAGTTGAGGATTTTGAAGGATCCTTTCAATGAACTTTGCAAGGATCTTTACTTAATCCTTTCACTGCCAGAAGTGATTAACAAGTAACCTCTCCCTATATATTATCTGCATACTGGGTGATGAGAATACTCAAACTTATCAGATAGAATTGCATCACAGAATAAAATCTCCCATTCTGATTGGTTAATGATTAGAGGTATTTAGCATGGAATTGTGAGTTGAAATTGAGGCTAAGTGATATTGTTATGCATCTATGTACACGTAGCAACTATGAGAAATGTGTTTTTTTTCCCTTATTTTTATTTAATTCTGCGATTCAAGAAAATCGCATTACCTGACTTGTGAATTCCATGATAAATTGCACTTGAAAACGATATCACATTCATTGCCTTGCAATTCATGCGATATCTGTTTTGCGTGATGTTTACTGCAGAATTCCCTCATCAAGGAATGAATTTTCCTATAGAATTTTTTTCTTGGTCTANTTTTGGTGGCCTGAAGAAAAAAAGAAAAGACAAAAAGCTCATCGCAAAATCATGTCAAGTCATGTCGCCGGAGTCGTTTACTCTCACGCCACATTGTGAAACGCTGATCGTGACAGGTCCAGTCATTTCTTTACCGTCACCTCATGATATGTCACGTCACACCACGTCTCAACTTGTTATGTCATATCGTATCATGCAACAATCGGCCGCCTTCTACCATGTATGAGAGTAACGTCATACACCGCGATACGTCAAGTCAGTCGCGCCACGTCATCTCAGCTTCTGTTACCTTTCCTTCCCATAACTAGTCTGAGCCGCCAGTTTACCGTAAGTTTAGAGAGGGCTGAGCAGAGAGACAACTCGGTCACTTTTCCAAGCCCCCATGCTCCACGAGCTTAAAATATAAGTTCGTGGAGCATAGGGACTTGGAATAAGTATAATAAGTGCAAAGTGTTGTGACGCTATAGTACATCACACCGCTATTATATTTGATTTGTTACCGTGAAAGATGCAGCCTTTGTGTTTTAAGATAAAACGAGTCAATCTTCCTATATTAATGAATAAGGAGCGTAGGTTTCTTCACTTTCTATTCGCTCTGACGAAGGGCTATTTAGTAGAGCTAAGATACGACACGGCAGCTTTCGAAACTCTTTAAAGTGGCCAGTTCACAACATCAACTCCGTTGATAAAACCAAATTATCTTCCTGTTTCAGTAGGTTCCTCTGCATTAGCACTGACCTCATCTAACTTGCCTTGAACTTGATTTATACGCCCAGCGTAGTACAAGAATATCGCTCCCTGCGAAAAAAAAGTATAATACATACATTAAAACTGGATATGCTAACAGCAACCTGCAGTTATCGCCTGAGGAAGGGGGAGGGAGATTTTGGGGAATCGTATGGTTTTCAGGGGGTTCGGAGGGGGGACTATAGAAAATTAATTGCCAATCAACTGCCAAGAAGGGGTGATCAAAAGAACATGACAGAGCCTTAGGGGGGGTTAGATAAATTTTATGGTGACATTACCAAAATCGTCCACCCTCTCCCTTCTTCCCTCCCCGCTAAAGATAACTAATGACCGGCCCCTTAGTACTTCTAGAAATAGAAGGACCAAGCAGAGATAAAAATGAAAGCGAGGGAGGTTTGGTAACGAATAATCAAACGATAGGTAAGCAACTTTAACT